ACTATTTTATAAGCTTGATTTGTTTAAAAGCTATTGAAATTATGATCATTGGTTCTATCTTATTTTTTAATTTGAAAGTTAGAAAATACTAATTTCAATGTATTCTCCCATAAGATGCAACATTTTCAATTTATTTTTATAAAAATAATATAGAACCTATGATCAGAATTACACGAACTTTTGACAAAATCAAGTTAGTATATACGATGACTGCCGTGATAAGAAGAATAGGTCAGTACCTGCATCAAAAGTTATTAACAAAAATATTAATAAAAATCGTTGCCGCGGCGCAACGCCTACACACTAAATTAACGTTCTATTATTTTTTCTAACCAATATCAAGACTTTAAAATAGATACATGCAATCTTTAATGTAATAAATAATGTGTAATTGATAAAATTTAAATATTTGAAATTTCATAAAACACTTTCGTCGACTGAAGTTACGCATTTTGTAAGTTTTGAGGTTATAATTTTTTCCAGATAAACAAAAGTACATATAGAATTAGATATAGCTACTATAAGTATTATATAGGCTATTAGAAAGTTGGTGATCCAAGGTATAATTCAAAATATTTTGCTTCAAAATATCAATAATTCTTTTAATACGATTGAGTTAATCGCAAGAAACGCTTTTTTAATGCGCGGGAACCGTAGTTGAGAACCTTGGAATTAGGCTCTTGACCAACAGCAACCAACCTCATTTGCTTCTGGCGCTACCTTTCCTTCATTCACCTTTCTCCTTCTCACGGAATAACAGAATGAGAATATCTAGCGCGTACTTACTTTGTTCAACCACTTCTGTTCTATCCATCTTTCACTCTTACTCCAGTGGTGCAGCACTTCAATAAATGAAATCTGGCGGATGTGTTAATACACACACACACACTCACAGCAAAGTAACGGCAACATGGCGATGGCTCAACCTGAGAGCGATATGGCTCAACCTGAGAGCGATATGGCTCAAATTTTCTATCAAATATTAGCAAATATGTGCAATTTTCTTACACTATCTCAATCATTACATACAATTATTTTGTGAGATAATGAATGAAAATGGTGGCATTTTTTACAGAGAGCAACAGCTAGAATAAAAGTGTCATGCGGATGAACAGCATTAATGTACATTCGTCGTGATCCTTTTATGTCCGTTACGATAACAATCGAATCACAAAGTACCTTACGAGGGTCGTTTGAAAAGTCCGTGCAAAGTCAGAGAGATGGCGCTACTAGTACGTATCAAGGTTATTTTTAGTTAGTGGTTTATCTTGGAAGAGCACACACCAAGTTTTAGCCAGATCGGCCAATTACTTTGCGTTTTACATTCGTTTTAATCAAAGAAATCGAGTGGTTGTAAAAAAATCGGCGAAAAAGAATTTCATGTATTGATTAAATATTACTTTTTCAAAGACAAAACGCCTCAGGAGATTAAACAGAAGCTTAATAAATATTATGGTGATTGTGCACCTTCGATTAGAATGGTTTATAAGTGGTTTCAAAATTTTCGGAGTGGCCATATGAGCACAAAAGACGCTGAACGTTCTGGACGCCCTGTTGAGGTTACCACTTCAGAAATCATCGATAAAATCCATGATATGATGATGGCTGACAGAAGAGTGAAGGTGCGTGAGATTGCTAGTATTGTAGGCATCTTGAGCGGATGGGTACATAATATTTTGCACCAACATTTGGACATAAAAAAGCTATCCGCTAGATGGGTGCCACGATTGCTCACGATTGACCAAAAACGAGATCGTGTGAAGTTTTGCAAGAATGGTTTGCAGCTGTTCCAGCAAAATCTGCAAGACTTTAAGCGTCGTTTCATCACTGTAGATTAAACATGGATACATCACTACACTCCTGAGACCAAAGAATAGTCTAAACAATGGGTTACCAAGGAGGAATCTGCTCCAAAAAAGGCGAAGACAATTTAAGATCTAAATCATGCACTGTTAATTTCCGATCTAAAGCATCTTTGAGTTGTTGTAAAGTATATTCTAAAACTTTAAACAGATTCTCTCTTTTGGTCCCGCCTGTCAAAATTTGCTATTTCCATGTTCTCAACTGACGTTCTGACGAAACTTGTTTATATTTACTCTGGACGGAACTTAAAGACAGTTTCTTTTTCTTACCACTTTCCCAGTATTCAACAGCTTTTCTTTTGTATCCATCGTCGAGTACCGTATTTGTTACCATACAAGTAGGTACCTCGGCATAGTTTACACCATGTATTTCTTCAAATTGATTGTCAACTAATTCTGGATTAATATCAAAATCATCATCCAGGAAACATAAGTTCTCACTTGTCTTACATTCAATACCTGAATTTGTTTCAATGCTTTTTCTCAATATATCTTCAACATAATCGTGTAGCTGCTTCTCTGCATCGTTTAATATAGGTATGCTTTCTACAACCGCACTTATGTGGAATGATTTCAGTAATTTTTGAATGACGTTGTGAATTTCAATTGCCATTCTAACACAATTTTGATATTCAAAAACGTAGATGTAAAGCAAAGTTCTATTACTAATTTACTGAAGTATGCTGATCGAATATGCTTATATATATTATAAGTGAACAAAACATGTTTTGAAGTTGGTACCACACAAACCGATATCAAATCAAGGTGCCCGAGGTTCCTCCACTGTTAGATCTTGGCTTATCACATACGTCAACGATTGCGATTTCTATCAAGGAAAAAAACAGGTGCAGTTCCAATCTTACTATTTGAACCATATGAACCGCATTCGTTGACTGTGGTTTCTATCGAGGAAAAAAACAGTTACAGTTCCAATCTTGCTATTTGAATCACATGAACCGTATTCGTTTATTGTGGTTTCCACGTCATGCCACAGTTTGATTTTGTTTTGCCAAGCACATACTCAAGTGTATTTAAGGTGGAAAATAAGAGTAACATTATCTCATGTCAGTATTTTTATATTGGCTAAAACCGCCTCGCGAAATTCGTATGGTAAAATCAGTTTGTCTAATGAATTTTTTCGTAACAACATAATAATCGAATTTCCTCAGGGATAGTAGTAATATTTGTTAAACATAGTGATTTAAAAATAAAATTCCCCGTAGCTATTTCGAACTTCAAAAATTTGCATGATTTCGTAGTTGCATTTGCTATTTCCTACCTATACATAAATATACGTAATTAATTAAACATTATCTTCTACAAAAAATATGCATATGTCCTTTTATTTGAAGATTATATAAATATTTCGAAATCGGAATTATGAATGACAGGAAGCTGGGTTCCGGTTTCAGAAAATTGGAATGCAGGAGTTCAGGGTTAGAGCGTGGCAGGGTAACCAACTCGAGGGTTAAGGAAATTGGGGTTAAGAGTTTGGGGTTACAGCATATCAGGGTAACCAGCTCGAGGATTGATGAAATTGGGGTGTAGGAGTTCGGGGATAGAGCGTGGCAGGGTAGCCAGCTCGAGGGTTGATGAAATTTGGGTGTAGGAGTTACGAGTTATAGCGTGGCAGGGTAACTAGCTCGAGGTTTAAGGAAATTGAGTTCGGGGTGGTAGGGGATCAGGGTATCAAATGAATGCTCTGTTCACTGTCCAATGAAGGGGTAGCATCCCCTGGTGACGGATACTGTATACTTTTGTGTTAGATTTCAAACGGAATTTCATAAACTTCCTTTCTTCTGAAAAAATTTTGCAAGAAAATATTTGAAAACATAGCTTTTCTTTCAGGCGACTTAGGGGGTTGCAACCCCTGTAGATGGAATCCATATATCCAGCTGAAATTTTGTAAAAGAATTTTTTAGAATTAGTAGTTTTCAAACTGTGCATAAATAACGAAAATTTTGCTATAAAATGGTGTTGAGGGGTAACTTTCGAGGGTAATTTTCACCCTCTAAATAATTTATTCGGCAGAACAAAAGTATACATGTGTTTGGCTTTTTTGAGCGTCATAGAACATGAAATAACCAGCATAATCTGCGATTAACAACTGCTTATATTGTATTAATAACATTAAGGGGTAGTTCACCCTCGAAATAATAGATAATAGGAAAACCCCGAAACACGTCAATTTTGTTTTATCATTTTCTACTAGAATATCATTTTAAAAATTTTTTTAAAATAATTTTTTGATTTTGTAAGGTAAAAATACACTTAAAAATACAGTTGTTCCTTTATACAACGTAGGGGTTGCAACCCCCAGGAACCAAATTGATGTGTGTTTGTTACTTTTTTTATAAATATCTTGGGTTTTTTTGTTTCATAAAAAAATATTCATTACAACTAAAGATATTGCTATAGAACTGCTTTTCGGGCTATTTTTTGGGGGTGGATTTCATCCCATAGATAGCTTTTTCCGCCGATAAAAAAATACGAACTATAACATATCTCAATTGCAGAAAAATCGGAGGCGGAGGGTTGGGGTGGTTCCCTTGTCAGATCATATTCGGCCAATGATATCATCCGTGTTCTTCCTTGCTTCTTTATACTGCTGTAGTCTGCATCATCTTTCGTAACTACATTTTGCGTAACTACTACTACTGAAATACTATCTTCATGAATTTTTCTCTAGCTTATACTCGAATCTTCAATCTCTTTTCTATTGTATACGAACCTCATGCTTCGCTCATTGATAAATGGTCAGCTATGATTGTATCTATTTTTGCTCTATCTCTCTCGTAATTCGCAATTCGCACTTACATTTTCTACTTGCTTTATCTCTTTTTATATTCTTCTCCTTATTACTAAATCGTCACTGATGTTGACACTATTCTCTCCTATATAAGATAAAAAACAAACGTAAAAGTATTATATGATCTCTTATATTATCGACGGTACATGATCGGTAAAAGAAAACGACAACAGGAAATGACCTGAAAATGTAAATTCCCCGTTATATGTTAAACATATTTTTCACTTGTGTCATAACGAAAAATTTTGAGTTGAGCAGTATATATTTTTACTTATATATTACTTAAAAATTTTTAATTATAAAATATTAATTGTTATATTTACTTCTAGGTTGACAATTCCCGCACAGTATTAAAAAAAATAGCTACCTTGTATGCTGAACGCTTGATGAATGATATTTGTTTAGTAGTAAATAACATCGAATATCCAGCTCATCGTTTAATTCTCTGTGCATCAAGTGATGTATTCGAAATTATGCTTATGAGTCCTCAATGGAGTGAGTCTCAAGAAAATCGCGTAACATTACGAGAAACACCACCGTGCTCTGCAATATTTAGTGAATTTTTACGATATTTTTACACTGGGCAAATTAGAATAAGTTACAATATAGTATTATCAATGCTTACATTAGCTGATAAATATAATGTGCAAGATCTCATTTTATTATGTTTAAAATATATGCGCGATCACATTCCTACAGCTGCTGTAAAAGGAACGCTTATTTCGTGGTTACAATACAGTATCAATTGTGGTCATTATAAAATAACAAATGCTTGTCACAACTTCGTCAAATGGAATATAGAATTAGTTGCTAGTACAGATGATTTTGCAAACATTGAACTTGAAGTACTTGTTTCATTGTTACAGCAAAGTAATCTTGTCGTACAAGATGAAATGACATTGTACAAATGTATTGAATCGTGGCTTTATCATCAGAGCAAAAAATTAAAAACTTATTTACCATCAGCTGACTATGACTTAGCCATAAAACAAATCGTTTTCTCTGTCATGTTACCAATAAGATTTCCTATGATGACGCCTCGTCAACTAGCTGAATTGTTGCTATCCCCATTGACTCAACGATATAAAGAATTTTTCGTTGAAAGAATGGCAATAGGAATGTCATTCCATTCTGGTCAAAATGATAGAATACAAGAAATATTGAGTACAGAAGCAACTAGTAATCTATTGTTTGAACCTCGCCTATATACAGCTGAAACTTACAGTTCATTACTAACTGTAGAAAATTTTCACAATTTATTATCTTACCATACAAGAACTTTTGTTTTTTCCAGCCTTTCTAATTTAGCTGACTGTGCTAGTGATAGAACTTCTGAATGGATTGTTGATCTTTATCCAAAGGGTGTATGGTTCAAGAAATTTTTTTTGATAGTTTGGCAAGGTACTGTTGAAATGCCGGAACACGTAATTCGATCTGTTAGATTATCATTAACATGTAAAGAATTTTCTAATAATTTTAATTCAGACTTACGTGTAAAAATTGGAGTTCTAATATACGGATTACAAGATGAAGTTGAACACGTAGCAAGGGTGCAAGAAATAATTCATAGATTCAATAAAAATGAAAGAGTTCTCAATTTAGATGATATTTTGCCTTTCGAAGAATTGAATCCTCAACATGACTCAATGAATTCTAATAGTCGGATTTCAAAATACTTAGTAGGACCAAATAAAGATACGCTAAAATTCCATATCATTATTTCTCCTATAAATCCTTATCTATAATTTCTTTAAAAAAAAGAGATAATGTATATTAGCATGAATTATTACTCTTTTATAACAGAATGCGTGTTATGAATTTGTAAATTCTTTTCTGTAAATTAATATATAAATTTACTTAGTTGTTTTTTAAGCTCAAACCTAATAAAATAATGTTAATTACAAAAATAAATTTTTCTCATATACTGAATGGATATTTATGTACTTACATTAAATTTTCTCTTTGGCTTTCAGTGTTTTTATTGATATATTCTTTTTAGTTTATACTTTGGATTAAGTCGGAATTTATAATTGTATTCGTGTTTATTTTATAAAGCTTTATATATATATTAATATAGCGACTTTCGCCTCTCATGAAAATAATACATTTATTTTGTCACTGTCTCACAATTAAAAATAAAGTATCTTATTGTTGTTTCCACTAGTCAAATCGAAAGTCTAAATTTCCATTTATTATCCAAAAAATTTCCATTTAGTTGATGCAGATTTGATAGTTATACGATATGTTTAAAACGTCGATAGGTTATAAAAAAATGACTGAAAAATTGGGTTAATAGGTTCAATAGGTGAATTTAAATCTTATTACTATGTTTTTTTCGAAATAGCAACAAATCCAATTAAAAAAATAATAAGGTAGGTCTGCTACATTATACTATTACTGCAAATGCAAACATAACTTTTGACAAAATGTGAATTTTTTAATGAACAATTGCTTCTTTTAAAGCTAATTAAATAACCTTAAAATTGTTTTCATGCTTATTGTGAATATTGCTTACATTCTAGTTGCATAAATATTAAATAACCATATATACTCCCAATTCAATCAATATTAGTAAGTATATACTAAAATATCTTTCTGACGAATCAAGTAACACTGCTAAAATCTCGTGTCATATTTTACTCTGTGGGAACTCTTCATTTTGACTAATTTAATAGAGTCATACTGCTACCTTTGGTCACAGCAGCCATCGGGAAATCAAGTTAAAAACGCAAAGAAGCTTGCAAATACTTATGCGCCACGATAAGTGTGGAATTTGCGTTTCCAAATAGACTAAGCGGACACCACAAAATAGGCCATGCAGTTCCAACAGCTCATCATTCGTCCTTGCTCTCGTGGCTTTTGGAATTACCGTGAATATCAATTGACTCAGAAGGAAAATAGGCATATGCGGCAGTACTTCAAATAAATCAATTGCACCTTCCTATTAACTTAATACAATGATAATCCACATTTATTTTCACTTACGGTGGTCGTATCTCACAAATTTTATTGCAGTACAATCATCTTTGAAATTGCTTAATACTCGTACGTTCATTGCTTGAAAACAAGCTATAACTATTCTTGAAAATGTGTAGTTCCGCAATAAGTACTAATTTCAGTTACATTATCTATCGATGCGCGCGGAGCATTATCTATCGATAGGCCAATCACAGGCTCGGTTGGGTGGACCACTAAGAGATTGGCGAACTCATTGTTGCCTTCCGTCATCTTCAGGAACCAGCGCAACGTTTATGGTGTCTACAGTTGTCTTCAAATCTCGTAGTCGGTTGGTGTAGAATGAAGATAAATTTTTTGGGTTCACCTAGAAAATCGCGAAATCTTCGTTAAAATTTCAAATTTGCAAATAGAAATTTTATGAAAAAATTAATAAAAAGGGTGTATATTGTAAAACAATGAACAATAATATATTAAAAATTAAAGCTCTGTAAGAGTTATATCATTTTGTAAACCACTTTAAAACTTTTATTTAAAGGATCAGAGTGAAAAAAACCACTTGTTTTTCTGAACAAGTAATCATTTATTCAATAAATTATACATAAATAACAACAAAGAATTCTTTAACAATAGAATAGCAACAAATAATTCATATAACATTTTAGAATAATTTACGAATTATTACTTTTTTAGCCAAAATAAATACAACCACACTTTTTAAACCTTCGTTTTGATGCTATATTCTTTATTATTTTATTTTTTCATTCTTTTGTTTGTGGTTCTCGATTCGCTCAAGTTGTAGCTAGAAGGTTTTGGTTGATAATGAGTGCACGGTAATTTCTGAAAACACTCATTGCACGATAAATAATTTATATACGAGACATCAGAATTATTTTTATTCCACAATAACTGAAAAATTTTACTTGATCTTGGAGCTCTTTTTATATCTGTTTTGACAATTTTTCCAATATTTTCAATATCAGACAGCATTACTTCGAAAACATTTATTTTCTTTCACTTAGATTTAAAGTTTGGTTTCTTCTTATACAGAGTAGAACGTCCATCACTACGAAAATAGCTATTAAGTTCGGAACAAGGGTTTTATCAAGATATTTATTAAGATATTATTAAAGATGTATTATTGGCTGCAAATGAGCCCAGGAATATGCAGGTACTTTTCATGAATAATTCTAGGTAGATTTCTTGTAAATTCTAGAGGAATTGTATATCTCGTCAAAATCGATTCCAGATAGTTATTTTTGGTGAATATAATATGTGTATTACGTATTATGAATAACTTATATACAATTTGCATATAAAATACATTTTTGTATCAAGTTGACAATAATAAATTTTTAAGGCTATCGTAGTATAAAATAAAATGTGGTATCAAATAAAACCATGTGGAAATATAATTCGAAAGTATTACGTAATACATGTTTTAGAACTCGTAGATGGATTCCGAAGAATATACAGCTAAATTCTGGTTAGAAAATGAATCATTTTTTGTCCTTTTTATATAAAGAAATAAAAAAAATAATAAATACTGTAACTAATAACACAGGCCGCCAAAATTTAAGAAAAGTCCTCACCCAGAAACGGGACTTTATGTGCCCAAAGGATTTTCGTGCACTGAATCCGAATTCGCCCTCAGAATTAACCCAACTCTATACGTCAGGTTTTCACGATATTCTAGCCTAAAAGTGCGAAAACATAATTTTTTGTTATGTTCGAGGTTATGTGACACCGTAAATAATTATTTCTTCAAAAACAGGTAGAACTACCACAAAGGAGCGCTCTTGCCTTTCGAAATCCATTTTTCAGATTTAATATATTTTTTTTTTAATCGAGATATCATTTATTGAGGTTAAATGCTTTCTGAGTTTTGTAACACATTAAAATAGCATATAGCATATGTGAAGCTCTCACCCCAATTGCAAGAGATCAAATTCGATAGAAAAAATATATACGTGAGTTTTTATAGGGTTGCTGATCATGAATATGAAGGTAGATATTGAAAGATCAAAACGGCGGACTCAATATGGCGACCTAAAATTTTATGAGTGATCGGATTTGATCGAAAACATGTATACATGGGTTTTTGAGCTTGTGATAACAAATATAAAGATTTTTATATTAAGAAAATTTGGGTTCAAAGATCAGGGGTTATAAACTCACAGGTTATAAATCTTGGAAACTCCAATTTTCTTAATTCACGACCCCCATAACTAGCGAGCCTATAACCCCAAACCGTTAAGACAAGAATTCATTAACACCTAAACCCTGTAGCCGTCGAACGTATACAAGGTAATTCAAAAACATATGTAAATATAGATACCATTAGATTCGTCTCGGAAAATTATTTAAGATCCCATTGCTAGTTTCTTTTTTCGCTAATTAGGTATTAGGTAATTAGCTTCAAACAGCGGTCAATGAGCGCACAGCTTTAGAGTTTTGACCGCTCGCTGGCGAGCGGAGAGGGGCGAAGGAGACAAGCAAACGTATGCGTCGGCTGATCGAAAGCAGTGCACAATTCGATGCGCGATATTATCTCTCCGCACCGATTCAAATATATTTCGAGACCTATAAATCAACCGCATATCAATAAAAATTCTAAGATATAATGACCGTAATTAATATATCGATATTCATTATTTATTGCGAAATTAGAGAAAAAGCAGCGAGTGCAGGATACACTTGAAATTTTGAGAAAGTACAGCGATCAACTTATAATGACTATCTGAGGATGGTTGGAAGACTTTTTGTGAGGCCTTTTTAAGGACTTTATGAGGACGTATTAAGGACTTTTTGAGGATTTTTTAAGGTATTTTTAAGGACTTTAAAAATGGTATGCATATCAATACTTGATATGTTTTTGAATTACCCTGTATTTCCAGAACTCTAAAACCGAAATACCTTAACCCCCGAACCCTGTAACTGTGAGCGTAAATTTCGGGATCCGTAAAGCCTAAATACATAAATCCCCGAAATCCGTAACTGTGAGTGTATATTCTCAAACCCGTAAAACCCAAACACCTTAACCCTTGAACCCCGTAACTGTGAGTGTATATTCCCGGACCCGTAAAACCAAAATACCTGAATCCCCGAACCCCGTGACTATGAGTGTATATTTCTAGATCAATAAAACCCAAATACCTTTACCCCGAACCCCATAATTGTGAGTATATATTCCCAGACTCGCAAACCCAATTTTCTTAACCATACGATCTTCGTAACCTGCGAATCTATAACCCCAAACTCTTACAACCCAAATACCTTAATCCCCGAACCCTATAACTGTGAATGTATATTCCTCGACCCCAATACTTTGATTTCCGAACCCTGTAAGTGTGAGAGTATATTTCCAGATACGTAAAGTCCAAATATTTTAACCACAAACTCTGTAACTGGTAGTGTGCGAGGTGTGTTCAAAAAATACCCGGAATTTTTAAATTTCGCGGGTCTGGAGAGTCCGATTGTCAAAATTTTTTTTTATTGTGTTGTGTAACAGGTTGCCGTTTAGTCTATAATCTCTTGAATGTACCTTTATTAAGACTAGACGACGCCTAGTTATCTATGTGCTCAAAGCACATCAACCTACCTTGTCTCGGAGTGCGCCTGCGCAGAGTCTCTTCACTATTCCGAGCTGGGTTCCCCCAACTCACCGCTTGGCGGCGCTGTCGCCCTTACTAGTAGCGCTCACGCGGCCGCTGCTGGAAACTAAGTCGAAGATTCCCGTCTACCGGTATCCGCGTGATCCGTGCTACGCTACCGGCGAATTCGAATCAAAACAAACAAATATAGACGCGACCTCCGGACAAAGGAAAGACAAAATAACGACTACTTGATTTAATAAAGGCTAACGTTCACTTTATTAATGCAATTTAACTACACGGGGTTTTT